ACTCCAGAGGAGGGAAACAGATGAACACAAACACAGTCCTTAAAATAAAGGCAGAACAATCTGTGAGAGTATTTGGGTTAGAGCAGAGAGGAGAGCCAGAAATAAAAAGCCAGATGGAAAGCAATTAGGAATATGGGGGAACTGGAAATGTATTTCTGATCTGTGGGCACAGACTGGATTGCAAATATTTACTGGCACTGAAGCTGTTCAAAAGGAAAAAAAAAACAGTGCAAAGGATTTCTACACCCTGTCACATCGTGAAAAGATTTAACCTTCAAGGACAGCTCTGAGGAGCACTCACAAACCTGACTGGCAAATACAGGCCTTTCAATTCTATTTTTAATTCCTCCTGGCCACTGCCCTGCTATATTTTAATTTAGAATACCTATGTCAAATTAGATTCCAGCTCATCCATCACAAACAATGAGATTGAGCAAGTGGAACTTAATTTTATTAGCGTTTCATAAGCCAAGAACGACAAAAAGAAAAAAAGGAGGAAATACAAGCTCATGGCACTCCAGCTGCATCTAAACCACCATGTTAATAGGATTAAAACAGGGAAGGGTTTAGTGGTGGACTTGGCAGTGTTTGGTTTCCTGTTGGACTCAATGATCTTAAGGGTTTTTTCCAACCTAAACAACAGCAGGTAAAATGTCAGGTTTTGTTACAGGAAAGTCTCTTGTCAAGGCTCTGTGTGTTGTTCACAGAGATACACAAATCCTCTTTCAGAATTTTAGGCAAAAGCACTACATTTTAAAGAATAAGGTCAAAGGGGAAAGCAAAGAGGGGAGAACAACTCAAGGCAGTCTGGGAACAAGAGTTTTACCCTCAGCTCATATTCTTTTCTTGCCTCAGGACTGAAGAAACTCATTCAGATTATAATTATGTATCTTTTATTACGAGTTTGCACAAGCAATGAATCATTTGAGCTCCTTTTGCCACAGAAATTTGAACAAACACGGACTTTAAAAGCAGGAGAATTTAACATGGCAAATACAAAGTCCAGCTAGAAACAATTTTCCATACAGAGAAGCTGATCTAAGGCTGGAAAAAGACACCACCACAGGTCCTTCAAGACACTAATTACCTTTACCTGCCGTAATGTAAATTCCAAATGTTGTTTCCTATGACAGAAAAGTCTTTTTTGCTTCATACACAAGATAAAAAATACGTAATTCTCAACACAAAAGGAACCTGTTGTGTGCCATTTGCAGAGTGAGGGTCAGGAAATCTGCTGTCACCTTGTGTAGCAGTGACTTACCAACCTCCACATGAACTCCTGAGTGCCCACCATTGGCCATCCCATTCAGCAGCTCCGTGTCCTCCAGTTTCAGCTGAACTGGGGGCTGGAATTTCAGCTCCTCCTCCACCTTCTCCCAGTTGGCCTTGGCTCGAGAGCCACGGGTGCTGTTGAAATGGAATTTCACCTTCTGAATGACGTTGTCTGGAACAACAGAGAAACCTCCTTCAGTCAGCTCTGCAAAAGTTAGCTGCTTAATTATTAACCCTTTACATTATGAAACCTTAATTAGGGAAATTCCTAATGATATCACGGCGGTCTTTTTTAATTGTTTTTAATTTCTTCATTTCTTATTAGTATCAGGTATAAAATTCCACTGCTGGTTAGGGAAAAATAATACTTCTTCTAGGTACTGTACATCACAGAATCCTAGAATGGAAGGACATTAAAGACCATTTTGTTCCACCCTCTGCCATGGGCAGGGACACCTTCCACAATCCCAGGTTGCTCCAACCTGGTCTTGGACACTTCCAGGGATCCAGGGGCAGCCACAGCTTTTCTGGGCAACCTGTGCCAGGGCCTCCCCACCCTCCCAGCCAAGGATTCCTTCCTAATATCCAGTCTAAACCTGTCCTCTTTCAGCACCTCCTGCCTTCTGGACACTTTAATCTCCACATCCTGCCAGTGGACTGCAAACAAGTCCTCACATCCCAGGGTGGATGTCGACTCGTATCTTAAACCACCCATGAACCACCATGAGAAGCGATTCCTGCGTTTTAACCACGACAAGGATTTTCCCAGCACAGAGGTAAATTAATTCAATCTATATCCGAGCCATGAAGCAGCTCTGACCAGCAGAGGCAATTCCACAGCGATTCCCTCAATGTCCAAGCCACAGATCCATGCACAGATCACTCTCCTTCATCTCTCACTCTTTCAGTTTAACACCATTTGCAAGAAAATCCCTTTCCACAACCCTGGCTGCTGGTTTGACAGGAATTGTGCTGAGCCCAAGCAGGGAATTTCTCCAAGCACTCACTGCAGGTTGGGCTATTTCCTATTTAATTGTGGAAAGATAAGGGCAAATTCAAGTTATTTCAAATGCTTAGGGGAATTAAATGCAGAAACATTTATCCTATAAGTAAAATCCATATCAAATATTGCACAGGTTGCCCACAGCTACTACTGGAAATTATATATATGTAATACCTGTAGCATGTTGTGATTAAGCTACTGTTATACTTGCATATGTTCTGTATTATTTATATATTATATATTATTTACATGTAATATTATACAGTATTTCTATTGATACATTTGTTTATATTATTTTATTTATATTATTTACATTATTTATATTTATGCATTATTTATAATCATATATTATAATTATGTATTTATTTACATATTATATATTGTTTATATTCTATATAAATATCTAATATTTACATACCATTCATATCTATGCATTTATTAATTAATTACATATTCTTTCTATTCTAAAACATAGCTTAAGCTCTAGTTATGTTGTGCTGGAATATACAGTGCCACAAGCAGGGAAAAATCCTGCATTTTACCATGTCAGAAGGCAAGAATATCTACATTATTCTATATGTATAATATAGAATAATTATAAGTAAAATTAATAATAATAATAATAATAATAATAATAATAATATGATAGTGATAATTATAATCATAATTATAATAATATCTATAACTACCAGACAAAAGGCTAAGATCTCAGGCATCAAGTGCTTCTTAGATCCAAACACAGGGAAGAAGATGATTAAATAAATAAATCAGTTATCACACAGCAATATTAGGTAAACTCAATAACAAAGTATAACAGTAAAAATGACAAAAAGGTGTGTTTTTTCTTTAAAAAAAAGACCCTCGTGCAATTAAAAGAAGGCAGAAATTCCCCAATTCCTACTCAAGTTAAAAAAGGAATAATGTGGATCTCAATCTAAAATTACATCATGGGTATAACGTGCCCTGCAGGGAATCCACCCCAAATCCAAGAAGGTTGTTTAATAAGCTTTCCTGGTGGATTTCTCAATCTTTTAAGCATGAGCTTAAAAAAAAATGACTGAAATCTGGACAGAAGGGTGCAAACCCACTGCAGGATTTCATCCTCTCCCAGGGCAGTTTCTCACTGCAAGGGAATTGTGTGTGAGGTTCAGCAGAGCAGCTCCTTGTTGGCAAGAAAACAATTTATATCAGGTTAAAAAAGAAACACTGGGAATGACTCTGAAGCTTTATGAAACTCTAAGTCAGGCCAGAAATAAAGCTGCCCACAATAATCTATTCTGTCTCCCAATAATCTGCTTTGTCTCCCTTTTTTCCTGTTCTCATCTGTCTCCACTCATCAGATTTTTTAATGATGTTAAAGTGTCTGAGATATCAATTTCTTGTTCTTTGCTTGGTCATTAATCACCACAGTATTTTGTCCATAACAGATGAACTCTGCCACTACACACCCAATAATCCAGTAGTTTGTGGCATCAAGATCTTCCCCCTTCCTTGCAATCACAAGCTACAACTCATTTCTTAGATGAGTTTAAATAAATTTCTTCATTTCTTCCTTCTTAATTTCTTGAATAAATTTCTCCTCCTAAACTCAGTAATTCCAAGGCACCAGGATGCCCTTTTAAAGAAGTAGAATTCCATGATAATCCAACTGCTAATAGTAATAACAAGCACTGCCCACTGAGCAGAAAGCCTGGCTACAACAAATGTAAACGAGCAAAATACATCTAAAAACATAAATATGTGGAAATATCATGTAAATATGTATGTGCATAAATACAAAGTGACTGTGTTGATATATCATAAAATAAATAATTATTTATTTTTGTAATAACAATTATATATATTTGTAATAATAATAATTATATATATTTGTAATAATAATTATTATATATATATTTGTAATAATAATTAGATATGTTTATAATTTTTGTAATAAAATAATTATCTATATTTGTATAGACCATTTATATAAATATAATATATAAAATAATATATATAATAATATTATAATTATAATATAATATATTATAAATATTAATGCAATATTTATAACTATAACACATATTATATATTTTATATGTTATTAGATATACTATTAATATAATGTTATAAATATAATATAATATAGTAATTACTATTATATATAAATAAATATTATATATAATTATATATTTATAATTATATATGTAAAATAATATTCTAGTATATAATAGTATTATATATAATAATACATTATATATGATATAAAATATCATATATAAATATGTATTTATATAGAAGTCTACAAATATCTATGTTCACTAAACTGAGCAGGAGCTTTGGGGCTGTGGTGCTGAGAAACAAGGTTTCAAAATGCACACACAGACAAAGGCACACCCAGGTATGTGCATAAATACAAAGTGACTGTGTTGATAGATCATAAAATAAAAAAAAATATTTATTTTTGTAATAATAATTATTATATATCTTTGTAATTTTTGTAATAAAATAATTATATATATTTGTAATAATAATTATTATATATAATTTTTGTAATAAAATAATTAAATGTATTTGTATAGACCATTTATATAAATATAATATATAAAATATTATATATAATAAAGTGTATCATATATAAATATGTATTTATATAGAAGTCTATAAATATCTATGTTCACTAAGCTGAGCAGCTTTGGGGCTGTGGTGCTGAGAAACAAGGTTTCAAAATACACAAAGGCACACCCAGGTTCACTTTCACAACCAAGGCTTTGGCAGGGAAACATTATTTAACACGATAAAAGTAGCAAGACAGAGAATTTTTACTGTTAGAAAGCGAAGTTACAAACCAAATTCAATGAAAGCATAGGGCCTGGAAGCCAAATTGATGCTGGTTGTGTCGTAGGAAGCAGCGAATTCCCAGCGAAGCTCTTCCAGGAAGCAGAAGGCCATGATGGTGGAGTAGCTGCTGGAACAGATTGCCATGCAGGCAACATCCCCAGAGGAGAGGAAGCTGGGACAGAAGCAAAAAAAATAAGAGTAATATCGACATAAAAAGGTAAAAGTGCTGCTGAAGACAAGGATTAAACTGTGCTTTCTGTCAACACAAAACGTGCAGACTGAGCTGAAGGAGCAGACTGCAAAAAAAATGTAATTTTTTTTTTGTTGTCATAGCCCTGCAGCCCCTGGAGATCTATTTATTCTCAGACAATTATTTATTCTTAACTGGCCCAGGACACCTGAGCACACTGAGTATCACGACACAGAGTTTATTAAATTGGTACATCAGTCCAAATCGAGGACGTTTCCTCCCAGGCTGGCTTTAAATCACATTAATAAGGAACAAGGTGGCCAGAAAACCAACTTTGAAAGAAAATTCAGTGGGTCTCCAAATTTAAAAATAAAAAAAGTAAAACCAAGGAAGCTTGTTCCCAGTAAGCAGATGCATTCCTTGCTCCCCGTGAAAGATTCCCATATTTATGTCGAAGATTCCCACATTTATGTCAGAGTTTCCCATATTTATGTCAAAAATTCCCATATTTGTGTTGAAGTTTCCCATATTTATGTCGAAGATTCCCACATTTATCTCAAAGATTCCCATCTTTGTATCGAAGATTCCCACATTTGTGTTGAAATTTCCCATATCTATGTTCGAGTTTCCTGTATTTATGTCAAAGATTCCCATATTTGTGTAGAAGTTTCCCATCTTTACGTTGGAGTTTCCCATATTTATGTTGAACTTTCCCATATTTGTACTGAACTTTCCCATATTTATATTGAAGTTTCACATATTTATGTCAAAGTTTCCCATATTTATGTCGAAGTTCCCCATATTTATGTCAAAGATTCCCATATTTATGTCAAAGATTCCCATATTTATGTCGAAGTTTCCTATATTTATGTCGAAGTTCCCCATATTTATGTCAAAGATTCCCATATTTATGTCAAAGTTTCCCATATTTATGTCAAGATTCCCACATTTATGTCAAAGATTCCCATATTTACGTTTCCACTTAGAGATGGGCCCAATTCCTTCCAGGAACCTTATCAGGGAGATCATCTCTTCCAGCTCAGCCCTTTGTCAGCAGTAATTCAGTCAAACACTACAAGTTTGAAGCTGAAACATTTCTCCCTCTGGATTTTCTCTCTCCCATTATCCCTATATTTCATCCCAACTTCATTTCATTCTCGTGGTTTCTATTTTACCCCGTTTTTACTTGTTTGTTATATCCCATGTACTTGGGATTTAGGGTTTTGATTGGCTCTGACAGCCCAGTTACACTGGGTAGGTTCCCCAAATTCCTGCTATTCCCAGCTGAGGATCAACACCATTCCTGCCTAAAACCACCTTTTCCAAGTTGCCAGTAATTTATGGCCCTTTTGCCACGGATCTCTCTGCACTCCTCTCATTTCAGAGCCAGAGCAGAGCAGCTTCTGCAGGGACAGGAGATTAAAAGCAGCAGGACTTGTTGCCATCAAAGGGCACAATTTTGCTTGGACTGACCAGGAATTCCAACACAAATCTCTGCTTTTCCAACTGTTTCGGAGCAAATTCATGGATCTTTTTTTATCCAACCACTCCCCCAAAAATGGATGCTCAGATTTAGCTTAGGGTCACTTCAAGTTTTGTCACATTTGCTCACCAGAAGTGCAATCACAAGCTAAAACTCATTTCTTAAATGAGCTTAAATAAATTTCTTAATCTCTTTCTTCTTAATTTCTTTATGAACTTTTTTCTCCTAAACTTAGTCATTCCAAGGCAAAAGGATGCCATCTTAAAGAAGGAGAAATCCATGATATTCCAGGTGGTAACAGAAACAAGCACTGCCCGTCGAGCAGAAAGCTCTGCTACAACAAATGAAAATAAGCAAAATACAAATAAAAGTATAAACGTTGTAAATATAATGTAAATATGTACGTGGAAATATGTATGTGTGAATGCATTTGTGTAAATATGTATATGTATAAATATAGTGATACTATGTGTTAATATATAATAAAATAAATAATCTATTTTAATATATATTTATAAACCATTTATATAAATATAATATATACATAAATTTCTGCATATATATAAATTATATATAAAATATATAAATTTTAGGTAATATTTATAAAATATATAAATTATATAAATATATAAAATATATAATATATATAACATAATATATAAAAATATATAACATATATAAAATATATATAGAATATATATAATATATATATAAAATATATATAAATATATATAAAATATATATAAAATATATATGAAATATATATGAAATATACATAAAATATATAAAATCATATAAATACATTAGTATGAATATATAACACTTACATATTAATATGCAAGTATATGTATGAAAATATATAAATAGATATTTATATAAACATTTTATATATATTTTATATATATTATATATATATATTTTATATATATAAATATTTTATATATATAAACCTGGAGCTGACAACCCAGACAGGCACAGTGGGATTTCAGACTGGAATCAGGCCCTACAGACCATCCCCAAAATTCTACTAATTCCCAAGATAATGATTTCAAAAATAAAAGCCAAAAAAAAAATAATCAACCAGGGACTTACTGGATGCTCAGGTTACGTCCCTTTGCTGTGCCTCGACTCGGGTACCATGCCAGGACTGAGGATAACGCCTTTAATCTCTTCCTGCATTCCAGAAAGTCCTGGTTGAAATGAAAATCCGTGGAGGCCGAGAGGGGAAGCCCATCCCTCACCCTCACCACGCAGGCAAAGAAGATCAGGGACATTCTCCACCGGAGTATTCATGAGGACAACCTGAAAACGGAACGTCACGTTGGGGTCACGGAGGTCAGAGCGTTTCCAAGGCAAAATTCCAGCCAGGAATAGGTCGGGGAAAGAGTTTATTCAGCACTGAGACTTGAACAGCACCTCTTGCACCACCTCTGCCATGGAAAGGCAACCAAACTGTGTCCATTTTTTGCCTCTCTCAGACTAAAAGGTGAGGCAGGGGATTTGACAGGGGAATTATCTACCTGGAAAACATCCCTGTTTTCCCTGCTTTGCTTTATTGAAGCATCAGAAATGCTGAGTAAAGTTCTTATTTATGGACCTGCTGCATCTTTGGAATTGCAAACAGCTGCAGGAATGTTGCAGTTCCCTCATTTTCTACTGTAACACAGAAATCCAAGAATAAATTTTAGGCTACAACCTGTCAGGCTCTTTTTAGACTCACCTAGGGCTAAATATAGAATAAAAGCTGCCCTCTCTTGTCTTCCTGGTCACAAACTCCCATGGAAAGTTATTGCTGGGATTTACCTGGTACATTCAGAACATGCAGAGATCTGTCCTTCAGACATACCATGAGGATCCAGAGGACTAACACAGCAGCTCACATAATATCTGAAAGAGAACCATAATGAACATTAAAAAAACTCTAATTAATAACCTATATTTACATGCATATTTATGACAAGAACTCCCCTGCAGTGGGTAAACATATCCTAGAAAGTATTTTGCCTAAGGGAAAACAAACAGCTCATTTTTTTTATTCAATATATTAATTTCTACACACATTCAAAGACACTATGAAATGATATGCAAAATGTTTATGATGTCCCAATCATAATTGTTTTTTTTTAATTTAGCCCAGTAAAAGAGCAACTCTAAATCAGTGGATTTTAAGGGATTATCAGAAACAAGTCCAGGAAGAAAAAGGAAAAAGAAAAAGGAAAAATAAAAGACATTTACTTGGCTTCAGGCAAACTACATAAATAAAGCATTAGGGAGTAAAAAGAAAGAAACAAAATCACCCTGTGAACTCAAACTTTAGATAGAGAAGGACTGTTTTAACCAGCCCTGTATCACACAATTCAATAGGATGCTCAAAGTACCTTTGAAATGTGTCTCATCAAAACATGTTTTTCATGCCTAAGAAGTCCAGGGAGCAAAACCTCTTCTAGTTCAGGCAACAGAAACTCTTAAAACTGCTCTGATTTCTAATAAAGTTTGAATTCCTACCACAAGCAGCACTAAGAGGATCTCATTTCTGCTCCAGAAGAATCATTTCCACACAATTTGTGGGAACAATCCCTCTGTCCAAGGTGGCAGCAATTTGCCAGCAGGTTAAAGCAACTACAATTATCAGAAAGCACGATGGCACATAACTTGTTCCCTTAGAAATGCAAATTAAAACCACAGAAGACCAGACATCTCTTGAAAAGTGTTATTTTGAACTTTTAAAATGGAAATTGAAGAATTAGATGTTATACTTTTTCCACTGTGCCCTCTCATAGTTCTTCTCCAGTTGAGTAAAATCAAACCCAGCTCACAAACCTCATGTCAACACCCAGCAAAAAGAATTTCAACAATAATCAGGATTTTTGTAAGTCAGCTTGAAACATCACATTGTTCTTTAATGTGCTGTGGTAGCAGCCATGAAAGAAACAGTGCAGAAAATTAACATACAAGTGAAATAAAAACAAAAAAATACACCTGCTAACTCAGAAATATTAACTTTAACACAGCCAGCTTTTCAGCACAGTTGCTCAGAACAGCACTGTTAAAAGGTGAAAAGCTGGTAGCACTGATGAAGTTTAACTCCAAAATAACTCCAGAACAGGCAAAAGATGGTCAGGAAAATAAAAAAGCACCAAGCTTAGAAAAATCAAATACATTTTCTAAAACCTATCTGGCCTATGAAATTATTCAGTTCCCTGTGCCACTAACAGCAAGAGTTTAAAATTAAATATATATATATTTATTCATCACTTAGGATAACATCACGAACTGCACATATTGAGTGGTAGAGCTTTCCAAGACATACAAACCTCCCTGGTGCAGGGCACAAGGCTGTCCCTGAATATCAGATGCCCATCAGAGGGATCCTCTGATCTCCTGGGAAAGATCTGCTGCGGGTGCCCACCAGGCAAATTCCAAATTAACTGCCAGACTTCACTGCAGAAATGAATCCACACTCCTTCCTGGGACAAAGCACCCACCAAGGAGGCTTTGGGTTCTCCTTTTCCTTTGTCACAAGCCTCTTGTTCCTTGCACAGGGTGCTCTGAGCTTGTGACAGTCACCAATGTCCCCTCCCGGGGAGTTTTAACTACTTGCAAGCCACTCTTGCCACGTCACCCGTGACAAACTGTCACAACTGGTCAAGGTGTAACCCAGTGACTGGATGCTGTTCCTGCTCCACATCTACTGCCCTTTCCTCCTCCAGGCTCCTTCTGCTTGCTCAGGGTCAGGAGCGCAAAGATCTGCAACCACCTGTACGTGGCAGGTCTTTGCCCGTGTTCAGGACCCAAGGTCAAAGTACTCGTGTCTCTGGACTGGGCAGATATCAAATCTTGCTGTACTCACAATTAATGACATCACACCAACATCAGATTTTGCTGGCACAAAGCAGCCAGAACATTGAGATGTATTTTGACCAATTGTTTCAGGAGAACAACTTGTAATTTCTGGCTGAAGCAAAGAAAGTTGATTTTTCACTATTTAAAGCATCTGTACACCCAACAACACTTCAAAATAAAACTGTTCAGTGCAGGACTCAAACAGCACACATTTACCACTGTTAGAACAAACAATTCTTTGGTGTATTTCCATAGTAGGTGTCTAAGTTACCTGAAGCACAATTCCCTCCCTCACTTCCTAAGCAGCAGACAACTCTCTCCAGTGTCTGCCTGGGGATTATCAAGGCAGCCTTAATCAGACCCCTTGCACTTTACTACACTGTTACACAACTCCTCTGGGTAAGGAGATTAGACCCAACTCACCAGGGCCACACTTCCCCACACGCTCCACAAACTCCTGCTTGATTGCCTGTACTTAGGAAACAATCTACTCAAAAGGCTCTGAGAGCAAATGGAAACCAGTGCATAGTTCACAAGGGGAATGATGTTAAAATACAGCTCTTTCAGAAATTATTCTATCTAACCATCAAAAGAAGAAAGTTTCCTTCCAGGAACAGCACAACACTGACAAGACATGTCTTGTTACCAAGTATGTGACTTCTCTCCCTGTTCAGAGCCACATTTCCCTTCTTTCTGCATCCAAGCTTCAAACACAATAACATCCAACTATTTTTTCCAGTCCTGACCTTCCTCCTGAATGAAGAGCAGAAAGCTTTAGTGGATGTTACCATGGTCCTGAAGCAGCCTGTGAAGTTTTTTGGACATGTGACAGCTTCAGACATGACCATAACTACTGCACTAAAGCATCTTTCCTCAGGCAGGCAATTTCCAGAGGGAGTCATGGACAGCTACAGGTGGGATGCTGGACTACGAGAGAGATTCAGGTTGACTCAATCAAACACAAAACCTTTAACAGAGCTGCAGCTCAAGGGTTGGTTTCAGTCCAAAGAAAAGAAAACAACTGGGATGTGGTTCATGAGGGAGAGTTACTCCATCTCTGTGGGATCACAAGGTGGATTTTACCTTCTTCTCACGTACATAAACAAGCAAATCCGAACCACTGTTAAATTCTCATCTTCTAAGATTGCAGGAGCTGTATCCACCTGCTCCATCCCAACTTCTCCCCCTCCACACCCCTAGCAGTGCTGACCAGCCACATCACAGACCCACAGCAACAAGAGCCACTCTCCAGACTGAGCAGTGAATTAAAGCAGTGAATTAAAGCAGTTTGAAAGCACGATGTTATCTCAAATTTTAAAACAGGATTTGTGCATACCCAGAGCTTACAGGCTCCTATAAATCCTACAGGCTTTATCCTTATCCCCAAAGGGAAGCGTGTAGAAAACCTTTATCGTTACAAATCTCCTGTCTACACAAACTCCTGTGAATTATCAGGAATGAAGCATGTTATGCAAACCTCAAACCCCAGCATTCCATCAATCCCACTGCCCCAATGGACAGGACTCCAAACCACACCATAACAACTCTGGGAGGCTCTGAAGCTTTGCCTCACCTTAATCTGTCAGGAACACCAGACACTTTATATCTCTTCCCAAAAACACACCCACCCCAGCCAGCTGAAGCCTCCCAAAGCCCACCAGCTCACCCCTGTACCCTCACCAGTCCATACAACTAAGGACCCTTCCCACATCCATCCTGCTCCACTCACATTACTCCCGCTTCTTCTCCCCCCACGTTAAGCATCCAAAAATTCCCAAAAGAACCCCTTTCCCCCACTCTTCAATAAAACCAGACACCCTGAAAGCAAACACGCACATACACCCCCTCAATCAGGACTGACAAGTCCCCCCCTACACCCCTTGAGCACCCCAGACACCCCCAAATCCTACTCCCACAGGTCCCAAACCCTCATGTTATCCCAGCTCACCTCAAGCCATCCCCAGCCCAATCAAAACCCCACTCAGTCCCAAATCCTCCTCCTCTACCCCTCAGACACCCCAAGGAACCCCCAAATCCAACATCCACACCAAAGGATCCCAATCCCAACACACACATCCCCCTCCTCACCACAACAACCTCCAAGACCCAAACTCCCCTCATTGCCTCCCACAGCCCCCCAAGCTCCCCAAACATCACCTCCCTGCCAGAGGACCCCCAAAACACCCCCTCACGTCAGCCCTGCTCACCCCAGTCCACCCAGCCCTTCCCATACACCCCCTCAAGCACTCCAAGGAACCCCCAGTTCCAACATCCATCCACACAACAGGATCCCAACACACACACCCCTATTCACCCCCACCCCATTCCCACATCCCCCTGCCCATCCCCTACCCCATCCCCACACCTTCCAACACCCCAACTCCCTTCATGGCCTCCCACACCTCCTGAAGCATCCCAAGGAACCTCCAAATCCTACATCCATACCACGGGATGTATGGATGTGGGACACACATCCCCCTGCTCACCCCCACCCCATCCCTACATCCCCTAACTCGCCTCATTGCCTCTCACAGCCCCCAAGCACCCCAAACCTCCCCTCCCTGCCGGAGAACCCCCAAACACCCCCTCCCATCACCCCAGCTCACCCCCAGAGCCTTTCCCTCCCTCCAAGGAACCCCAAATCCAACATCCGTCCCTACAACAGGATCCCAACACACACATCCCCCTGCTCACCCCCACCCCATCCCTACATCCCCTAACTCGCCTCATCGCCTTCCAGACCCCCCCAGGCACCCAAAACCTCCCCTCCCTTCCAGAAGACACCCCAAACATCCCCTTCTATCACCCCAGCTCACCCCTAGGGCCCTTCCCTCCAAGGAACCCCAAATCCAACATCCGTCCCTACAACAGGATCCCAACACACACATCCCCCGCCCCATCCCTACATCCCCTAACTCGCCTCATTGCCTCTCACAGCCCCCAAGCACCCCAAACCTCCCCTCCCTGCCGGAGAACCCCCAAACACCCCCTTATATCACCCCGGTCCCCCCGGTTCGCTCCCCCCGCACACCCCCCGCATCGCCCCGTCCCCGGGTCCCGGAGGAGGAAGAGGAGGAAGAGGAGGAAGAAGAGGGTCGCACTCACCCTCCGCACTCACCGTCCCCGCCCGTCCCGCGGCCTCTCGGGCCTCCGGCTCCGCCACAGCCCCGGCCCCGCCCGCTTCCGCCATGGAGAGAGCGCGGGGACAGCCGGGACGGCGGGGAGGGACCGGCGGGACGGGGAGGGGTGGGGTGGGGTGGGATGGGATGGGATGGGATGGATGGCGGGGGATGTGGGGACGGGATGGGCTGTGGGGATGGGATGCGGTGCGGGAATGCGGTGTAGGGATGGAGATGGGGGTCGGGATGGAGTATGAGGACGGGATGGGGTGTGGGGATGCGGTGTGGAGATGAGGATGGGAATAGGAATGGGGTGCGGGGATGGGGATGGGAATGGGGATGGAGTGTGGGATGGGGATGGGATTGGGGT